ATGAAATACTTCATAATGTCTTTATTGGAACAAGGCTAGTTTCTGGCCTTTTTTTATCAACTCTTGTGCATCCTACTTGTTTCTAGCTGAGTAGCTGACCAAAAATATTCTTCTTTCTGGTTTAGGATGTTCTATGGATTATTCAGAGTACCTTTTCATTCTCTAAATTAACATGTAAATTTGTGCTGCGTGGCGATTAAGAAAGAAAAAGTAAAATACGTGGTTGATTTTTTAGCACTTGTATTTTATATATCATAAATTTGTTTCAATTCGTACTTTTGTAATTACAGTTTGTCATTTATATTGCCGGTTGGATCTTTCAGATGTCGTCTAAGAAAGATCAGGGGAGTTACTTTATTTGGTCAAATGAAACTGTTGGAATTTTTAATGAAATATGCATCCAGTTCATTCTTAAGAGAGGGAGGGGACAACAATTTAGGTGGAAGCAAATACAAGCTTTATTTGAGGAGAGAACAAAAAGAAAGTGTTCTTCAAAAAGCTTGAAAAACAAGTTTGACTTTATGAAAAAAGATTGGCGATTGTGGAAATTATTGAAACGTGATGAGATCGGATTGAGTTGGAATGCAGCCATTGGGACGCTGGATTGTTCTGATGAATGGTGGAATAAGAAAATCAAGGTATATGTATCATTTCGCTCATTACCTTAGAACTGGGATTATTGTCATAAATTTAAAGTAAGAATTTTCTTTGTAGGAAAAGACGGAACTAAAGAAGTTCAAGCATAAAGGAATTCCAAAGAACATTGAAGAGCAATGGGATCAAATATTTGGAGACTCAATAGCAACTGGAGTAGAATGTGTGGCTCCAAGTGCTACAATGGAGGAGAATAACAATCAAGAAAATCATCAAGAAACTGTCCATGATAATGCCGATGATTATGAGGTGTACAAGAGTTGTAGTGCCCAACTAGATGAGGGTAATTTATTTCAAAATTTTGTGCATGAGGCTAGTGCAAATGGTCATTCTATTCCTACATCTACGACTGCTGAAGATGCGGGGACCAATGTCATTAGTAAGAAGCGCAAACTAAGGCAGTCTAAGGAGTTGGTTAAACTTAGTGAAATTTTAGAGAAGGGAAATACATGTCTTCAAGCAATTGAGCGTCTATTGGCAAAAAAGGAGAAGGTTGTTGATGATTGTGTAAGTGTAGGTCATGTCATGGAAATAATGACCAGAATGGCTGATAATGGTGGGCTGGTGAGGAGTGGGAACTTATGGTTTCATAGCATTTGTGTTCTCGATAGTCCAAGTAGAAGACAATTCTTTATCCACTTTAAAGATGATGACGAAAGGCTCAATTGGCTGAAATTTATGCAGGCAAAAGAAATGTTTTGAATATGTTTAGTATGTTATTTGTTTATACATATTTAATATGTTATCTCATTAAGAAGATTTAGGATACAAATTCCTTTATTTAGGTTGGATATTTAATTTTGACTTCTATATGTTTCGGATTTAAGTGATTTGTTTTCTTACGATTAGTATGATTGTATTATTATATTCATTTATTCATCTATTTATAGTGATATCATGAATGATGAATCACGGTGAAGAGGGTTATTTTACGTTTAAACATTTGACACTTAGAGGGAAACTATCAATATCTTATTGATAACACCCTCCTCCCTAAACCAGTAGGTAGCTAGGTATTTAAAAACAGGAAAAAGGGTTATATACACCAGGGCCGGTCCTAGAAATCTAGAATATTAAAGTGGAAATTACCCCTTTGGGCCACTTTTGTGGCCCGTATACCATTAAAGTCTCAACTACTTTTTTCTTTCAGTTTTAAACTTTTATCTTTTCACTTTTGTTTTTTTATTTCAGTTGTAGACCGTTTCTGCCAACCTCGAGCCAAGGGAAGCAACGTTTTGCATGTTCTACAACATTCTTTCTTTTTCGCGGTTTCCTTCTCTGCTTCAACTTCATCTTCGCTCGTCTCCTTCCCTCATCTCCTTCGCTCATCTCTTTCAATTTTTTTCTTCTCTCTTCTTCATCCTGTGCATGTTTATCATTTCAGAACTATGTCAAGTTCAATTCCTCGTCGTATTACCAGATTGTCTGCAGCATTGAATAAAGGAAGTGATTCTGAGGCTAAAGGAAGTGATTCTGAGGCTAAAGGAAGTGAATATGAGGCTCGCAGTTCTTCATCCTCCCCTTCTGGTACAAGTTCTGATGTTGATGGGAAGAAGAGAACAAACGAGAATACTCCTCGCCGTACTACTAGGGCGTCCGCTGCATTACGTAATAAGGGAAGTGATTCTGTGGCTCACAGTTGTTCTGATTCCGATTCTGGAAGTAGAAGTTCTAATCTCGTTGGCAAGAAGAGAAAAAACGAAAATGCTTCTAAGGCTGTGAAGAAGAGGGCTAAAGTTTCTGATAAGGCAAAAGGGAAGAAGTCTAAGATCTCCGTCGATAAGAGGAAAATTAAAATCAAACCTGGCGGATTTAAGGTAATTACTTATCGCCTTGGTATATTTACATTATGGTTTCTATTTTTGTATTTAATTTGTTGTTTCATTCGTTTAACTTTGATTTTATTTCAATTTTTGATTTCTCTTTGTTTTTTGTCGTGTTTTTTTACTCCAGGAATGGGAGTATTTTGTTCCATGTGATTCCTGGTTTAACAGTAGGGTTTCTAGCTATAACAAAGATTGCATTGCGTCTAATCTGAAGGCGAAATTGACTGATGCTCAATTGCGTTTATTTAGTGAAACTTGCTTTGGTAAATTTCTAGATTTTCAAGACCTCAAATTTCAGCCTCAAGTTGTTCATTGATTGCTTTTGAGAGAACTTAGTCACAGTGTTCCAAATGAGATGTGGTTTGAAGTTTCTGGTTTTCGTTTGCGTTTCTCCATTGCTGAATTTGCTGTTGTTACTGGTTTAAAGTGTTCTGGTCAATTTGATGAGTCTACTCTTACTTCATTAGACAACAATGACCTCATCAAAAAATATTTCAACAACTCTTCTAAAGTCAGTCGTGAAGCAATTACAACTTGTTTTCTCGGTCAACGTGCGGATTGTGATGAAGATGCTGTGAAAATTGCCATTCTATATGTTATTGGTTTGTTCTTGTTTACTTCGCCTAAGGAAAAGTTTATTCGTGAAAGTTATGTTGCTGTTGTGAATGCTGGTTTGTGGGAATTGTACCCTTGGGGGAAGGACCTTTTTGATATAACTTTGCAAAATTTGAAAGGCAGACTCATGAGAGCGGATACTATAAAAAGTGATTATTTCTTTTACCGTATTCTGGGATTTCCTTTAGCACTTCAGGTGTGGTTTTATGAGTGTTGTGATTTCTGTGATGGCGTTTTTGCTTCAAGATCCGGTTCTCTAGTTCCCCGTATACTGTCTTGGCACTCATCTGTTCCGCTCACATTTTGAATATGGAACTTCTGTGTTTATCTGCTTCTCAGGTATTTTTTTTAAAAATCTTGTTTTCCTTGTTTTAGGTTTTTTTATTAATCTTTTATTTAATTTTCAAAATTTATTCTTTTGTTTTTCTATTATGCAGTTGAAGTTACACAATCTTGTTCTCTCTGATGTTGAAAAAGAATCCCCTGAATTTGATGCTTTGTTTGCTGCTAATATCTTAAGGCCCCAAAGTGTTCCTTCTACTTCAAATGCTGGGGAGGTGCCTCATGTTTTTTCTGGCGATGCTTTATCAAGCTCTGCTTTATTTGACTTTGAAAAACGTCTAGATAGTAAACTTGCAGATTTCAAGGAATTTGTTCAGGGAAAGTTTAGTGTTTTAGAACAGAAGCTTGATCATGTTATATCACTTGCTGACTTTCGCTCTTCCAAGCAGCCAGACTTTCACTCTTCTAAGCAGAATTCAGGTTTTGTATCCTCGCACCAAACTCCTCGTAGACAAGCTCCAGTTTCTGAAAACAATGTTTCTGAAGATGATGCTACACTTGTTCTTTCTCTTAATGAGATTGATTCTCACTTTGTTGCTACTAATGAGTTTCTCATGTTGATCTTGACTGTGGTCTGTTACATGATCCAATATTTTCTACTGATCCTTGTGTGAATGCCATAGATAATCAACAGGTTTGTTTTTTGATATGTTGCATTATGTTTGACATTGTTTTATTTTGTTTCCTTCTTTGGTTTAAGGTTTTTTGTCATTACTAGTTTATGAACTATTTTTTTAGAGGAGTTGTTGCCTGATAGTGTTGCAGCTGTTTCTTCGTTTGAAGATTCTGATGCCCTATTTAATTTCATGAACAGTCTAGTTTTTTCAGCTGTTACTAATTCAATGTCAAATGAGCACGATTCCTTGATGATGGACTATGTTCATAATGTTGTTTTATCTAGTGTTACTGATATGCACCATTGTGAACTTGATTCTATGTTGTTGGAGCATTGCCAAAAGATGGTTTTTTCTACTGTTATTGATATAATGACTGTTGATCAACCACCAAATGATCAACAACCAGTTTCTCCCTCTGATGATGGGGTTAATGATGAATCTTTTTATGCTGAACTGGATTCTCTTGTTTCACATTTTAATAGTGCTAAGGTATTGAATTTATTTTCTTTTTTCTTTAGCTTTTGTTCTCATTTTATGTTTGTTTTAATATTCAGTTTTATTTATGTAGTTGTTGAGCACAGATCCTGCTTGTGGTTCTCCAGAACCTACGATGGCTTTAGTTCCTTTTGTTACACCTATATCAGTTGTTCATATTGATGAATCCAATGTTGAGCATAAAAGGAATATTAAGCCTAGTGTTTTCGTCAAATCTCCTTTTGTTGTTGAGTTTACTTCGGGATGTGAGTCTGCACCGTCTTCTGTTGAATCGTTCCCATGTCCTTTTCTTGATGAAGCAGTCTGTGTCCCAGCATATGATGATCTTTCGTCTTTTAATGTTTGGATCGACGAAAAAGCTTATAAGCGGAAGAGGTCTGTTTATAATTATCATTATATATTATAGAATTTAGAATATCTTTGTTTTTAACTAAATGTTTTATTATTTTGTAGATTAAAGTTAATGTATCCTGAGAAAGTTGATCATCTCAGTCCTGGGTTTGACTTTACTGTTGCTTTTGTGGAATCTAAGACATGGTTCCATAGTCTTCACTACGCTGGTGAAATGCTATCAGATTCTGTATGTTTATTTACTTTTATATATATATTGTTTCTCTTGTTTTGTTGTTGTTGCATGTTGTTGTTTTGTGTTTCTTTATGTTTATTTTTGTTGCAAGTTTTGAATAAGTTGTTTTTTCTTGTTTATATTTGTTTATTTATTATTATTTTTTCTAATATTTTCCTTTTTCGTGCAGCATATCGATGTGATCTTTCATTATTTTAGGAAAAAAGCGGCAGTTACTAAGATATGCAAATGCAGTTTCACAACAACTGATGTTCTTTTTCAAGTTAGTATGGAAAGAGCATATGCTGCAACCTTGGACAAGACATTTTGTTGGTCAAGTTTTGCAAGTATATGTGATACTATTGGAGGCTTGCAGTTGCCCTATTCTAAGCCTTGGGATGAAGTTGAACATGTTCTCATGCCATTGTACATTAAGAAACAGATGCATTGGATTCTTGCTAGGTTTTGCATCAAAGATTGGTGCATTTATGTTTATAATTCACTGAACAGTTACAGGGATGCATCTCTTGCTAAAGAAGTTGTGAAACCACTACTTGTTATGCTCCCATTGTTTTTTCGACACATGGATCACTTTTCTAAGCATGGATTTGGTATTCAAAGGGATATAAAGCTGAATTTTGTGCCTGACTTGCCTGTCCAACTGTCAAATATGTCCTCGAACTTTCACAAAAAGTTCAATTAAGTCCTTCTATAGGAGGTTCTGTCCGGCCGTCGCGATTTGGGGCAGTTCCCGGTGGAATTTTTTGATGAAATTTTTTGAGAATCTTATTCACCAAGTCTAGTTTACTCATACCAAATTTCAGCTAAAAATTCAATCGGGAACACATTCAAATTAATTCTTGAAGATAACTGCGCATTTTTGCGTTCTCGAATTAATTTGAATGCTCTCCCGATTAAATTTTTAGCTGAAATTTGGTATGAGTAAACTAGACTTGAGGAATAAGATGCTCAAAAAAATTCATCAATAAATTCCACCGAGAACCGCCCCAAATCGCGACGACCGGACAGAGTCTCCTATAGAAGGACTTAATTGACTTTTTTATGAAAGTTCGAGGACCTATTTGACAGTTTTCCCTTTTTTATATTTTGTTTACGTTTCTACTATTAACAATTTTTTTATTGTACTTTTTTGTAGTGACTGTGGTGCTTTTGTTGCTGCTTTTGCCGAGTATTTTATCGATAACATAGCGGTTCTAGAATTTTTGGACATTGACCTTTACAGGAGCAGGCTTTCATACTTTCTCTACCAATATGGATTGTCCAAAATAAATGGTGAAGTCCAGAGTGATGCTGAGCAAATCAAACCCAAGAGGAAGAGGCTGAAGAAGTTAATTCAATAGATGTAGCAAGAATTAATGTACTTTTGTTTTGTGATCTTGTAATGTAAAAACCAGATATGAACCTGTTCTTTTGGAAACGTAATGTTTTATGTTTGTCATACAGTTGTACTGTTTACTGTTATACAGTTGTTTTGAAAAGCTATTAATGTTCAGTGTCATATGTTTTTATGTTGTTTCTGTTAGTGTTTTTTATTGTTTATATTTGTTTCAATTTCCAATTTTATATCTTCTGTTTATTTTGTTGCTTTCTGAATGTCTTCCTTAAGTAATTATATTACTACCTTCATGTTTCTACACTTTGTTTATCAAAAATAGCAGTTGTTTTTTACTTGTTTATTATTGTTGTTTATTGTTTCTGCTTTCGTATTTAATCCCATATTAGAAGTTTTATCACAGAATGTTAATAAAGCTTACACATAATGGACACTAACAATATGAATGCAAATTTATATTAAATTGAGTTTGAACAGTACCTATTGCGAGAATTTGCAAAACAATTACATTATTGAAATTATATTATATAAACTTTCTACTTTTGTGGTGCATTCCTACATGTCTTTCTGTTGTGGCCTTGGTTTCCACACTTCCCACATTTGTGTGTACTTGTACTCTCCCAGTGTGCCTTGTACCTCTGCTTCTTTGGCCTTCCAGACTTTTTCCTTCCATGTGGGGGATATATTTTCATTTGCTGACAAGTATTCATTGCCCATATCCCCTGATCTGGAATTGGATGCACAGTCCGTTGATATGTTTGTTGCATGGTGTCCTTTAAGTAGTAAGATGAGCAAAATTTGTATGGCTCTTGGTTCATCTTTTTGAGTACTGCCAGTGCATGCATACATGGCAATTCATCAATTTGGAATCTTTTACAAGTGCAATTCTTCTCCTCTAAGTTAACAATGAAGCTTGTGTTCATTTCAGAAACTGTAAATATTTCTTCACTAGTAGGAATCACCTGCAATTCAAACTGTTATACTCACACTTTTTAATAAAATTTAACTTGATATAATTTAAGCACTATATACCTTTAGCTTCATGCATTTGAGGTAGTTTTGTTCTAGTGTTTCATGTGGAACTTTTGCAAGTTTGGTGAATGTGTTTCTTGCAATATTTCTGTTCACATGTGTCCATATTTGTACCAATGCATGCAAGAACTGTAGCAACGCAGTTATTGGCAGATTTTTTATCTTTTTCAATGCGGCATTCAAGGATTCAGCTATATTTGAAGTCATTGTTGAGTATCTTTTTGATGTTGAGAAAACTCTAGTCCATTTTTCATACCCAACTGAGTATAAATATGGTACTATCCCCTCATCCAATTTCTTCAATTCCTCAATGTGCCAATCAAAGTCATCTTTGGTATATGCTTGAGCAGCTTCAAAAAAACTGTCTTTCATTTTCTTTGTTTTTCTTTTGAACTTTGACTTGAGGTTGTTGAATAGATGGTATATGCATACCCCATGCCCAGCTTCTGGATACACTTCTGCAACAGCTTTTGCAATACTCTCATGTCTATCAGAAACAATCACCATTCCACTTCTATAAACCAAAGCTTGTCTAATATTTCTGAAAAACCATTCCCAGGATTCATCATTTTCAGAGTCAACTACAGAAAAAGCAATAGGGAATATTTTCCCACAAGCATCTTGTGTTGATGCGGTTAACAGTGTTCCACCATACCTCCCAGTCAAAAATGTCCCGTCAACTACAATAACTGGTCTGCAAAATTCCCAACCCTTAATTGATGCTTCAATAGCCATGAAGACATACAGGAATGTGTTGTCTTCATTGATTTTAAGATCCACAAACGATCCAGGATTTGTTTGTTTCACAATATTCAAGAACTGGGGCAGAAAGCCATATGATTCTTCTGGTTTTCCTCTGAGTTTATTTAGTGTTTTTTCTCTTGCTCTCCAAGCTTTTAAGTAACTGATGTCAACACCAAATTCCTGTAACATGTCCCTATTTATATCGGTTGCATTATATTGAGCCTTTGGATCCAAGAGCTTAGACTGAATGCATTCTGCTACCAAACTTGATGTTGCATGCCTTTGATCTGCTAATCTTACTTCCAATCTGCAAGAATGTGTATTTACAAGCTTCACAACTTTAAACCTTCCCATTGTTCCAATTTGTCTTGCTTTTATCTGCCAACTGCAATTTTCATCCAAACACTTAGCCACAAAACAAATCTTGTTTGACTTTTCAGTCACGTATTGGAAGTGATTTTTTATAGCATTCAACTTCAGTGCTTTCTTGAACTCAGAATGGTTCTTGTATACCAGTCTTTCTTCAGGGGCTGCATCACTGTTGTTGCACTTTGTGGCTTCTGTCTCCACAATTTTATCTTGTAGTAGTTCATCAGTTGTTTTATTTGCCCATGCTAATATAAAAGCATTAATGTCTATCTCTTCACTAATTGTTGAGCTTTCTTCAGACAGTGCCCCTTCTTGCATCGCAGTTGTTGTTTCCACTTGTTGATTTCCAAGAAGAAACATGTTGCAATTTGTTTCTTCATGTACATTAGCAGTGGTGATGCATAGAGGGAACTTTGTCACATCTGTATCTTGTTTCTTCAGATGCAAATAAAACAACAGAGCTGAGTTATCTTGTATCATTAGTGGTGGATAGTTGTCTCTGACTTTGTATTGAACTATCAATGAGGTTGATGTTGTTTGTATTCCAATCCTATCTGCTACCTTTTCAATCAAGTCAGCAAAAGAGTTGTTTGTAGCCAAAGTAATTCCAAAAACACAGAAGTTTACATATTCCATGGCTTCATTCCAAAAACCACCGTGATGAAAAAACACAGGTATTGTCTCCATGTTTCCTGTTATTCACAATAAATATCATTCTATTTTTAAAAAATCAATACATATACAGAGTATTTTGATATTCAGAAACACAGAATTATTCAACATTAACGATCAACCAGAATCATGATCAACATAGTAGTGCGATAAGCAGAAACAAAGACTTATCAACAGAGTGTGATGATCAACATCATCAATTTATCAACAAACGCAACAAAAGTGATTGAGATCAGAATTATGTTCTATCGAAATATGAAACACTGAATGAAATATGGAATTGTAATTATCTGACCTCCTTGATTCGCTGTAGAGTCTTCACAGCTGATCAGAATTGTGTTCTATCGATTCAATCTTCGTTTGGAAGATTGAGATCGGTTTCGATGTAGCAGATAGGTTCGATTGAATATCGAAAACTACTTCGCAGAGATTTTCGCGCGTTGAGGAAGATACGCATCGTAGACATTGAGCTCTGGGTTTCTAATTTTGGTGATAGAGGTTTGAGTTTCTAATTTTGGTCGTTTATATATGTGATATTTTTGAAATAAAAAAGTTACGCAACTTATTTGTGAAAGTGGAATCTAAGCCAGACAAAAGTGATATTATTTTCCTGATTTGGTTTATTCCTGAAATTTTCCCAATATTAAACGCCCTGTGCAAAACTAAAAATAAAAGGCCCTATATTAAAAAAAATTATATTACATCCGTCTCAATGTTAAAGTTAATTTTCCGTATTAATAATAAATTCATTTTTAATATAGAATAATTAAAATTACACATTCAGAAACTACATTAAAATCTCTATAAAATTTTAAAATCCAATTTAAAATTTAATTAAAAATTATTATACCAATTAAGTGAATAAAATGAATTTGTTTGACTCATAAAGTCAATTTTACAACTCAATTTGAGATTGATGGAGTAATTATATATTACACATGTAGTGAAAATAATGAACTTAAAAATACAAAAATTAAGTATAAAATGTACCCAGTAATTAAAAAGTTATTTTGATTGCTAACAAAAAATATCATAATAAAAGAAATCCAACTTAATAAGAATCGTAACTATAAGGAAATGAAGAAAGTAACTTACAAATATATATATACAGAGTACGGTAGTATAGTAAAGTAATAATACAAATAATACCGTACTTAACTATACATATAGTAGAGTAATCTCCCGGTTAGAAATTTCCTGATCGGAGCGCCGTCCGGCCTCCTCCTTTTGGGGGTCTTCCCGGTGGTATTTTTTGCTCAAATTTTTTGTGTATGTTCCTCATCAAGTCTAGTTCATCCATACCAAATTTCAGAAAAAAATTCAATCGGGAAGGTCGTCAAATGATTTTGCAAGTTAACTGGTCCGGAAAATACATATTCCAGACCAGTTACTTGCAAAAATCATTTGACAACCTTCCCGATTGCAAAAATACATATATTAGCCCTAATTAACGATTGGGCCCTCCACCCAAATTGGGCCCTCTGCGGCTGCACTGCCTGCACAGCGTCAGAGCCGGCCCTATATACACCCTTCTACAGTTCTACTATATCAAATAAGTCACTTCAACCTCTCTACTAAAAAACCCATCACATAGACACATTTACTATTAAATGATGGATACCCGCTATAGCAGGTCTTGGGTCTTTTTTATTTTTTTTTTTTTCCTTTTTATTAGCTTTTTCATTTTTCTTTTCGTTCTTTTGCC